CGGATACGTGTGGACGGGGCCTTACTGTAATATAATTTGCTACTTCAATAACTGTGTATTCACTGTAATCACGTGTGGACGGGGCCTTACTGTAATATAATTTGCTACTTCAATAACCCTTATGACAGTAATTTTTCCTACTTACTCTACTGTTTCCTTCATTCTCAGTCTACTTTTCCTTTCTTTCTCTTTTTCCYTTTTCTTTTCCTATTCTCTTTGTTCCTCTTTAAAGATTAATCCACCATTTTACATTTCATTTTTAGGAACGTTTAGCAAACATTGGACCAGAAGAATTCGTAGAAACTTTTATTTCACGAGACGATGCTGACTTCAAGGTGAGCCCGCCTTCAGTCCCTCTTCATGCATCTCGGGGAACTAATTTCGAATGGAATTGTGGGTCTATTTAGAATAATACGATTTCCCGGGGGRAGGGGGCATGAATCCAAAGCAATGTGCTGTAGGGGCCAATAACTATTTTGGAAGCCCCTGACAACAAAAAATGCACGATCTCTGCGTTAACATGTTCTCTGCCATAATTTGATATAGAAAAACTTACCTCTGCTTGTTCACCCCCTTCAGTCCCACCCATCCCCAACCACACACGCACGGATTGTTTTTTTATTAACGACCATACTTTGCGTTCTTTTCAAGTCGACCTTAAACGTAATCAAAAGAACCACAAGCTTGGAAGCCTACGTAGAATGGTTTAACAGACTTGGTTATCTTGTTGCCACAGAAATCTGTATGGTAAGTGCATATGTGCTTTTTCTTGGGGGGAGGGGTGGTGGACGTGTATACCACAGGGATCCCGAGAAAAATGTTTTCTATTTTTTTATAGAGCCCTTTTTAAAATTATTCCGATACGAGTGGAAACTCAAAAACAACTTTTTTTGAAATAAAATTTTTTTGACAAAAAATGTGAGTTTTTGTGTTCGTGTTTTTATTATTTTTGGGGTAATTTTGTGTGTGGTGTTTGCTAAAATCTTGTTTTTACATGCTTTGTTGCTGTATTGTGTTGTTTTGATGTGATATTTATGGTTTTGTGTTGTTTCTCTAGTTCCGAGGTTTTTTATTTTATATATTGCTTCTATTTCTGTTTCCTTTGTCTTASAGTGAAGACATTTAACCCGTRAAATAAAAATCTTTAGTCAACATGTTATAGTCAAATACACACAAAAGAAAAAAAATGGAATAGGTCGCTATCAACAGACGTCACTTTCTGTAATAGCTACGATTTTAATGGCTTTTAGAATCTTGGAGGTTGTTTTGATCTCCTGTTTTTTGGTTTCATGTCGTAGAAATAGTCAAATAGTCAAATACAATAGTTTGAGGACTTATTTTGACACGTTTTGACTTAACATCCGCTAGTTTTCCCTCAGCTAACTGCTTGTTTGCCCCCCAGTCAACTCCAAAAAGTGATGTTAAAAGTCTAATAAAGTATGTTAGTCTAATATCTATTTCATGGGTTTAATGGCTTCACTCTAATAATTTTTTCATTTATTCATTGCGTCCAATTTGTTTGCCCCCCAGCCATCTCCAAAAAGTCATGTGAAAAGTCTATTAATGTGTGTTAGTCTAATATCTATTTCACGGGTTTAATGGCTTCACTCTAATAATTCTTTCATTTATTCATTGTGTCCAACTTCCAGGAAAATAGGAAGAGCGTTCGTGCAAAGAAGATYGATTATTTCATCGAAGTAGCAATTGACTGCTACGATCGAGGGAACTTCAACTCCGCCATGGCCATCATCGGTAAATGATCCCCCCATCAAATTTACTCATTTTCTAGCCTGTTCCATTGCAGCTTTTCTGTCTAAGATAAATTTTAAAGAAGTGAGGGTCACGTGACCCTGCCCGCCTTAAAACGAGAAGTTATATTATGTCAAAATGAACTTTGGAAATGAAAACAAACACGCTTCAATATTATAAAGAAGGCAAAGTTTAAGCTCATAACATCTAACACATGARAAATATCATAAGTTTAAGATTATGAGCTGTAACTTCCCCTTCGTACCAATATTGAAGRGCTCTTTTCATTGCCGATATACAGCTATTCATTCAAATGTCCATCCAATATAATATTCTCAGAGTACTCCTTAAGGTACTAGTTCTGGATAAAGTGGGTCTCATTTTAACAGAATTTATTCGAATCGTACTCAGTTTATACCTAAAAGCATTTGATAACTAATAAGACCTTTATGAAATTTTGTATCGAAAATGCAAGTCAAAGGTGTCAATATTCACACCTAAGGTGTTAAAACAACACAGTTATCCCAAAGGCTTTTTTAGTAAACCTGTAATATTTCTCTAACTTCGTTTGCAAACATGTCTAAAATAAGCAATAATAAACCCTCGTATAATACTCCAGTTACGAGTTCTCTGTTGCTCAGAGTCAGCCTCGATTTTGTGYAGAATATTCACGTGTTCTAGTGAAGGTCCGTGGAATTTCAAAGTGTTTGTATTGTTGAAGTTGTGCATTCTTTACTTTACCGTTGGTATTCGTGAATATTTAAACACTGACACGAGACTAAACCTGAGAACGTGAGTTTGTAATCAAGAAACACAACGGTAATTTGGAATTCGAAAAAAGCCATCCATTCGGAATCATTCCTCTCCCACGCGTATCACTGTATATTGCTCACCTTGATATCTTCAACACAAGATAAAGTCCGTATCTCCGCGCGGCAATGTAATATCCTCTACTTCTTACGTATCATCCACTCATCAGTGTCTTGTCCTTCTCTTGAGAATCTCAAATCTTTCGGCCTACTTTGAATATCCTTTTCAGTGCTTAAAACAAAGACTTAAATATTGGTGACCTTGTTTCTGTTCTTGTTTCTGTGCTTTTCGACCAATCGCCAGGCATTCTCGTACTTAGACCCTTCTCAGCTTTCTAACGAAAAAATCGATTTTGGTTAGGAAGTAGAGAAGGGTCTAGGCATAACAATCAGTCGTCGGAGAGCTATACTTTCGACTAGAAAACCGAGATTTTTTTTGATGAAAATGGGTTAAACTGGTTTTATATTGCTTTTTCTTGTCTTTTCAGCGGGTATGAACATGAGTCCTGTTGCTAGACTTAAAAAGACGGTATGTTGAGTATTTTCGGTGTTTTATCTTTATGTTTTGCTTGGACGGACGGACAAACGGAGGGAGGGATTGAYGGATGGTTCGAAGGATCAATGGGTTGCTTCATATATATTTACGAGTACTTTGTTCCTTTTCAGTGGTCCAAAGTCAAGAACAAGAAGTTCGATCGACTGGAACGAGAAATGAATCCAGCGTCCAACTTCGGTGCATACAGAACTTCCTTCAAAGCAGCGCACGAGAGAAAAGATGAAAAGGTACCCCTCCCTTCCCCTCCCCATGCACGTTTTGCTTTGACCAAGTCGTCTCTAGCTACAATACGATCTTCTATCCATTTATTTTACAACGATCTGAGATTGACAGAGGAAAATTACCAGAGGTCATGACGCAAAAATATGCTGTGAAATTAAAARCGCTCCAGGTTACAAGAAGGTTACTGTTGTCTCACTGATGTTTCACGCGTGCTTTCTTCTGTTTCCTTAATGGACCCGTAATGGACCTCTCTACCTTGAGCGTAATGCTTTCCCCTTTCAGACCACGTGCCATTCCCTTGAGTATTATTTCTTTTATCGACCCTTTTACTTTGGGCGTAATGTTTTCTCCATTTCAGACCACATGTCATTTCATTGAGTATTATTTCCTTCATCGACCCTTTTACTTTGGGCGTAATGCTTTGCCTTTTCAGACCACGTGCCATTCCCTTGAGTATTATTTCTTTTATGGGCTCTTTTACCTTGGGCGTAATGTTTTCCCATTTCAGACCACGTGTCATTCCCTTGAGTATTATTTCTTTTATCAACACTTTTACTTTGGGCGAAATGCTTTCCCCTTTTTAGACCACATGCCATTCCTTCGAGTATAAATTATTGGTTTAACGGCTGCGCATAAGAAGACATATGGATACAAATCAAACAAAGAATCTGATTCTCAAGATAATGACACCTGGTCTGAAATGGAAAGACATTACTCCCAAGATAAAAAGGTCTATACTGAAAAGCGATATCGAATACTTTCAAATGTCTCAGTATACGCCATATTTCTGAGATAACGAACATGGCGGATTATATTGTAACTTGGGTACATACGACACGGCTTGAAAACGCGTGCGCATGCGCGAAATTCCTAAAAACAAAATGGCGGACGCTCGTGTAGTCTTCGTACTTCAAAAACCTGCGACTTTGAATAATTTTTAAAGAATGCCTGTAACCAACATATTTAAATTATCAGTCAAAGTATTATACAAAAAGTTGTTAGAAAGTGGCAGTGAGGTTCAGAAGGAGGTCTGCATGATGGTTATCGAGATATTAGATCACGCGTTTTTAAGTCGTGTCGGTACAATCATCTTTTGATCATCCTGCCTTATGTGTTGTTTTTACTCAAACTAGACCAAAATGCATCCTGTTTATCACACTCAGAAAAGGCCTACAGTGTATGAGGCTTCATTTTCCTCCTTAGTAAAAACTAACTCGTCTTTTTTTCATTTTAGAACGAGTACGTTATTCCTTTCTTTGGTTTGTTCTTGAAAGATGTTTATTTTCTAAACGAAGGGTACGATAACAGGTGAGACTTGGTCGCCATCTCGACGCCCCTTCAAAAGTAATAATTTGATTCCCGACAGATGCCTGAAAACAATCTCCATGTTGATATAATTCAGGGCA